CCGATGGGGGTCCCAGACCCCGCGAAGAGCGTCGACGAGATCAGGGTTGTCTTTGGCAAGATGGGCCACGACGACAAGGCCACGGTCGCTCTGATCGGCGGCGGCCACGCCTTCGGCAAGTGCCACGGGGCTTGCTCGAAGTTCGAGTACGAGGAGCCGGCTGGGCTGCCGCCCAACATGGCTTTCGCGGAGGGCACGTACCCTTACGTGGGCAAGTGCCCCAACCTCGACGGCGGGGTCACGGGCATGGGAAACGCCACGTGGACCAGCGGGTTCGAGGGCCCTTGGACGAGCACGCCAACGCGGTGGTCCAACGAGTATTTCACGTATCTCTTGGATTACGAGTGGGAGCCGTGGTTGGGCCCGGGCGGTGCGATTCAGTGGCGAATGAAGGAGAACCCTGACGACCCGCGGATGCGCCTCACGACCGACATTGCCCTGATCAAGGATCCAGAGTATTTGAAGTACGTCGAGCTCTTCGCCAGCAACCTGACTGCGCTCAACGAGGCGTACGACTTCTCCTGGACGAGCTTGACCAGCAACGGAGGTGGCTGGTCAACGAAGAAGATCTGCGTGCCGTACGGCCCCCCGCCCGCGCCTGGCGCGACAACGCCGACCTCGATGCTCAACACGGACCCGCGCTGAGGGGTCGGTTGGGTAGCCCACGTGAATTGCCAAACATGCCCATCGGGATGCGGTGCGCGACGATTACCCGCGCGGTGAAAAGCCAGGGCGGCGGCAACTCGGCGGTGCCGATTCAAGCAGCCGAGCCGACTGCCTTGGCACGTTTCGCAAACACCAGCGGAGTTCGCGCAGTTCACCACAGCAGACTACTATCTTCGCTTTACAGTATGCATCAGTTGGCCTTCCCAGCCCCAAGGGTTGCATTAACTGCTTTTGTGTCCTAGCTGTGGAGCGACGACGTACACGGCTTACTTGTGGCTCCACAGCTCGGCATCTCGAATTCTTACTTCGAGCAATCCACATACGTGAAGCGCGAAAAAAAAAAAATGGAGGAGAGAACGAGGGCAAATCGACAAACAGGCGGAACAAGTACGGACAAATCGAGAAGGGGGGGGGGCAACAGGGAGGGAAACACAGTCAGGGCGCAGGGAGGGGAGGACAGAGGAGGAACGGGAACGTTGGCAGGCGGACCCTGAAGGGCGGGCTGGGCGGGCGGATCTTTTCGCGCTGCTCGGGTGGGCGAGAGGAGGAGGAGGAGGAGGAGGAGGAGGAGGAGGAGGAGGAGGAGGAGGAGGAAGAAAAGGAGGAGGAGGAGGAGGAGGAGGAGGGAGGAGGAGGAGGAGGGCTACCTAGCGAGGGAACGCGTGGACCCTGACGGGCACGTCGGGCGGACGGGCCCTGACGGGCGGGCTGGGCGGGCGAGCGTTCCGGGCGGGTGGGCGGGAGGAGCCTAAGGGGCGCTTTGGGCTGGTAATTCACGGGCGGGGCTGTCCGGTGGAGCAGTGAACCGCTTCGGTAAAGAAGATTCAGGCGGCAAAGCGATTCGTAAGGAAATGGTGGTGCATTCCTGGGTGGAAGCGCGATTTTTTCAGAGTGTCGAGGGCGCGGCGCCCGAACGATTGGCGAGGCCGTCCCAACTGATGGTGCGATTCTCTGGTATACTTCATTGAAGTCTCGAGAGCGCGATTCTCCAATAACTTGTGAGGAAGGCTGAGACGGGAACCGTTCAGGGGGGCGAAAACATACCTTCAATGCGACAAGTTGCCCTGAGAAAGAGCTGGGTGCGAGCCCAGAGGGGCACATCAATAAAAATAAGCACAGTGGGCACAAGTTGGGAGGGATCATCAGCAGCAAAAACAACAGCAGCAACAGCAACAGCAACAGCAACAGCAACAGCAACAGCAACAGCAACAGCAACAGCAACAGCAACAGCAACAGCAACAGCAACAGCAACAGCGACAACGACAACGACAACGACAATAACAACAAAAACAGCAGCAGCAACAACAACAGCAGCAACAACAACACTAACATTATCAACAACAACAACAACAACAACAACAACATCTATCCCAGCTGCCTACGGCAAGTCCCGTCACCGTGCCTGGGTTGTGGGTCTGAAGCCAAATGGTTGGTCGTAGGGATCTCGTGGGAGGCCTCTCGGGGGCCTCTTGGAGGCAGTTTTGATGCCTCTTGGGGCCGTTTTGGTGTCTCTTTGGGGCCTGTTTGGGCCCGCTTGAGGTCTCTGGGGGGCCTCTTGGGCGCCTCTTGGGGCCTCCTGGGGGCCTCTTGGCGGGGAAGGCTCCCATTGTCGGTTCGTGTTCCCTCTCTTGGGCCCCAGGCCCTGTTGGGCCTTCTTGGGCGTCTCTTGGATCGTTTTGGGGCGCTCTGAGGCCGTCTTGGTGTTCTCTTGGAGGCCTCTTGGGCCGTTTTGGGGTGGTCTTGGGGATCTCTTGGGCCGTCCTGGAGCGTCGCAAAGACAAAAAGGTGAGGACGCCAAAATCTTCCAAAAGCCCTAAGGACATCAATCATTTTTGCATCTTGGGGCCCTCTTGGGAGGCCTCTCGGGCCATCTCGAAGGCCCCTTGGGAGATCTGGAAGCCATCTTGGGCGCCTTCGAGTGGCCGGACGTCGTTGGCTGCATCAGCCACACTCCCAGTCTGGATCGGGAGGGGAAAAACCACACAGACACAATTAATCGTCGATCTCAGGGAACATATGGGAAAATATGGGAATTGGGGGGGGGAAGACAACAGCCCAGAACATATGGGAAAACCTGGAAAATCCTGTTTTTTTTGTGCATTTAGTTGTGCGCCCCTGGGCCCCTTCCCTGCAGCAGCGCCGCGGAGAGCCGCGGAGCAGAGGGCAGCAAAGCGTGCCGCTCCTCCGCTGCTCCGGGCTGCACCGACGCCGCCGCCGCGCCCCCGTGTTTCGGCCCTTTTGGGCCTCCCTGGGAGGCCCTCGCCGCCACGGCCGCGTGCGCCTCTCGAGGTCCCCGTCGGAGTGCGCCCCGGGAGCAGGCCGGCCACAACTGGGGGAGCTGTGGTCCTTACCCCCCTGGGGGGACCCATCGACTTCGACACCCCTCTCGAGAGATCGTCGACGCGATGGGTTCCCCCAGGGGGGTAAGGACCACAGCTCCCCCAGTTGTGGCTGGTCGGAGGAGAGGTCTGGAGAGTGGCGGCATCGGCACCTTCCGGTTTCCCCGGGTCGTCGTCGCCTTCCTCGCCGCCGCCGCCGTCCCGCGCCGCGGCCTCGAGCGAGTGCGGGTTTCTATTCGAGGCATCTGGCCTCTGAAGGCTTCACGAGGCCCAAGCTGGGCAGAAACCCGCAACACCTCGGTCCTCGAACCTCGATCTTCGACCTTCGATGCTGGACCGTCATCGTCGCCGCCACCGCTGCCTCCGTCTTCGTCTCAGCATCGTCTGACCAATTACACCCCGACTTGGACATGATGCCTCAGCCATCCCCTCCCACATGAAAATAGACAAACTTGTAACACATTTGTATGTATCAACACAACTATGTGTATGCATGTATGTATGTATGTATGTATGGATGGATGGATGGACGGATGGATGGATGGATGGTTGGATGGATGTATGTATGTGTGCATGTAAGTATGCATGTATGTATGTATGTACGGATGGATGGATGCATGGGTGTATGTATGTATGCATATGCATATATATATATATATGCATGTTTGTATGCATGCATGTATACATTTATTTATGTACGTATGTATGTATGTATGTATGTACGTATGTCTGTAGGTATGCACAGTGTATGTATGCATGTATGTGTTCATGTATACATATATGCATGCATGCATGCATGCATGCATGTACTTCTGTATGTATCTATGTAAACACACATAGACATATGTATATATGTATGTGATTGGGTTCGTGTATATTTATCTGTATGTGTACAGGTCTATGTATATGTGTATGCATCTGCATGTGTACATGTACATGTACATGTGTATGTATATGCATATGTAGATGCATATGCATATGTCAATGTATATGTATATATACATGTCTAGATACCTGCACATGTATGTGTATGAACATATGCATATGTATATACATATGTATATGCATGCGTATGTATGCACATTCAAATGTATATGTATGGGCATCTGTATATGCATACGTGTCTGCATCTGTATACGGATATGCATTTGCATATGTGTATGCACATGTATATGTATACCTATATGCACATGTATGTGTATATGTATATGCATATGCACACGCATATGTCGATGTATGTGCATATGTGCATGTATAGGTGTATGCGTATACCTATTTGCATACGTAAATGTGCATGTACATGTATAGGTATACATATATCGTTATGTGTATGTACATGATTTTGTACATCCATGTGTATATGTATACGTATGTGTATAGGTCTATGCACATGTGTATGTATGTGTATAACTATGGGTAGACGTACATGAGTGCATCTATGAGTGCATCTGTATTTATACATACAACTATGTATGCATGTATGTGTGTGTATGTATGTATGTATGTATGTATGTATGTATGTATGTATGTATGTATGTATGTATGTATGTATGTATGTATGTATGTATGTATGTATGTAATGTGTATATATATACATATATTTCTACATATATATATATATATATATATATATCCGTGCGGGCTTCGCCCCCTGCCGCCGGCCCCCTCTCTCGGAGAATAGGGTCAGCAAGAGCTATGTTGTGAGGCCTGGGTGCCGTCGTGAAGCAGCCGCCGCCGCCGCCGTCTTCTCGTCCTCGCCGTCCTCCTCCTCCCTCATCGTCCTCTCATCACCGTCCTCCTCCCTCTCTTCCCTCTCCTCCCCTCTTCCTCCTCCCACTTCGCTTCCGGTGTCTTTTCCTCCTCTTCGTCCCCCTCCTCCTCCTGAGCCGCCGCCGCCTTCTCGTCCTCGCCGTCCTTCGCGTCGTCGTCGCCGCCGCCGCCTTCTCCGCCTGAGCTGTCGCCCTCGCCGTCGGCCCGCCGGCCAGCGCGCCCGAGGGCCAGCCCGATGTCGAGTCCGAGCGGGGCGCGGAGGCCGCCGCGCGTGGCGTGGCCGCAGCCAGCCGTCGCCGCTGCCGTCGTCCCTCGCGGGGCGCTGGTGCACGTTTCGTGTCGGCGGCTAGGCAAGGGTCGTCTGCGCTGGCGGAAGAGTCAGCCACGCGCAGAGGGGGGTAGGGGGAGGGTGGAGGGCTTCTTAGAAGCACCCCTGCTTCTTAGAAGGCGAGGGCCTTCTCTATAGACGTAAGGCCGAGGCCTTCTAAGAAGCAGGGGTGCTTCTAAGAAGCCTTCCCCCCTCCCCCTACCCCCTTCTGCGCGCCGCCAAAAAAGGCGAACTGATCGAGGGCATCGTGGTGGCGAATGGGCCAAACATGCAAGAGCGGGCAAACGGGACAGAGCAGGCGGCCGCAGAGAGGGGGAGGCGAGGCGAGGGCCACCGAGGGGGGGACGGAACACTTCCCCGGGTGCGCTGGCGCGGTCAGCCCTGCCGGCGGGAACTGGGGCGGCTGTTGCGCCAGTGTGCCTGCTGAGGCGGGGCCCAGTGCGGGGACTGCACCGGGGGCGCCGGTGCACACTCGGCGGCGGAGTCCGGCCCCCCCCCCCTCGCCGATCCACGCTTCCAGGCAACCCGCCGGGCGGCGGGGGGGCAGGGCTCGGAGCTCGCCGAGCACGTGGCGGACACGCTGGAGGAGGAGGAGGAGGAGGAGGGAGGAGGAGGAGGAGGAGGAGGAGGAGGAGGAGGAGGAGGAGGAGGAGGAGGAGGAGGGGACACCCGAACGCTACGTCGGCCTCCCATGGATTTGGGGGAGAATCGACAGCTGGCGGGGGTCGGGTTCGGACGTCGCCACCTGGGCCGGCCGAGCCGACGGCGGCCCTCCCGGGGCTCGAGGTTCGAGCTTCGAGCCTCGAGCTTCGAGCCTCGAGCTTCGAGCCTCGAGCGCTTCTCGAGCTTCGAGCTTCGAGCCTCGAGCTTCGAGCTTCGAGCTTCGAGCTTCTCGAGCTTCTCGAGCTTCGCGCCTCGAGCTTCGAGCTTCGACCTTCGATGCTCGGCCGGCGGCTCTCGGGCGTCTTCGCTGGCTCTCGGCGGTTCTGCGGCACCGTGGTGCCTCCCAGCAGCTGCGCCTCGTCGAGGGCGTTCTGGGGCTGTCCAGACCCGAACGGCCGCGTTGTGCTTCTCCGGACCTCCGCCGGGGGCTGCTCGTCGCCACGACCGTGGGTCCCAGGAGGCCTCCGGTGGCTTAGGAGAAAGGGGGAGTCGCGCCCGAAACACGCCGATTCTCGAGCCTCCGCCGCGTCGCATCCAAACACCGTGCATGATGATGATGACGACGACGATGATGATGATGATGATGATGATGATGATGATGATGATGATGATGATGATGATGATGATGACGACGACGATGGCGATGATGATGATGATGATGATGATGATGATGATGATGACGACGACGATGGCGATGATGATGATGATGATGATGATGATGATGATGATGATGCTGATGATGATGATGATGATGATGATGATGATGATGATTGCTGATGCTGATGTGATGATGATGTGATGATGATGATGATGATGATGATGATGATGATGATGATGTGATGATGACGAGGATGAGATGAGATGATGATAAGGGGATGAGGATGATGATGCTGATGATGATGCTGCTGATGATGATGCTGATTCTGATGCGGATTCTGATGATGATGCTGCTGATGATGGTGATGGTGGTGCTGACGATGATGATGATGATGATGATGATGATGATGATGACGATGGTGGTGGTGGTGGTGGTGCTGCTGTTGATGATGATGCTGATTCTGAAGCGGATTCTGATGATGATTCTGCTGATGATGGTGATGGTGGTGCTGACGATGATGATGATGGTGGTGGTGGTGGTGATGGAGGTGATGATGAAGATGATGATGCTGCTGATGTTAACGATATTTTTGATGATGATGGTGATGCTGATGATGATGACGATGTTGATGCTGCAAATGATGACGATGACGATGATGATGATGAAGATGATGCTGATGATGATGATGATGATGATGATGATGATGATGATGATGCTGATGATGATGATGATGATGATGATGATGATGATGATGATGATGATGAGGAGGAGGAGGAGGAGGTGGAGGGGGAGCTGAGGTGGTGGTGGTGATGATGATGACGCTGGTTGTGGTGATGATGATGATGATGCTGGTGGTGGTGATGATGATGACGCTGCTGCTGCTGCTGACGATGATACTGATACTGCTGCTGACTCTTAAGATGCTGATGATGGTGAGGAGGAGAAGGAAGATGGTGATGGTGGCGGTTCTGGTGGTGATGATGCTAATGCTGATGATTATGATGCCGATGATGCTGCTGCGGCTACTGCTGCTGCTGCTGCTGCTGATGATGATGATGATGATGATGATGATGATGATGATGCTGATGATGATGATTATGCTGATGATGATAATGGTGCTGCTGATGATGATGATGATGCTGATGCTGCTGCTCATGATGCTGATGATGATGCTGATGCTGCCGCAGCTGATGCTGCTGCTGATGATGATGCTTATGATGCTGATGCTGATGCTGATGCTGATGAGAAGGAGGAGGAGTAGCAGGGGGCGGATGGTGGTGGTGGTGGTGATGGTAATGATGATGCTGCTTCTGATGATGCTGGTGAGTCCGATGATGCGGACGAGGATGAGTAGGAGGAGGAGGATGGTGGTGGTGATGGTGATGGTGGAGGTGGTGGTGATGGTGATGATGGTGCTGCTGCTGGTGATGAGAATGCTGCTGCTGCTGATGATGATGATGATGGTGAGGAGGAGGAGGAGGAGGAGGAGGAGGAGGAGGAGGAGGTTGGTGTTGGTGGTGGTGGTGCTGGTGGTGATGATGATGATGATGATGATGATGATGATGATGATGATGATGATGATGATGATGATGATTAGCATGAAATGATGATGGTGATGAGGGGGAGGAAGAGGAGGAGGAGGAGGAGGAGGAGGAGGAGGAGGAGGAGGAGGAGGAGGAGGACAAGGAGGAGCAGGAGTGGAGGAGGCGTAAGGGGGGCAAGGGGGGACTGGGACTATGTGGGAACCATTTTGTTGGTGTATGTTGACCTGTTGGTGTTTGTTTGATTGTTCTGTTATGTTTGTGTTCCATCTCTCGGTCATGTTTTTTTTCCCTCTCTCTCTCTCTCATCCTCCTTGTCGTCACCTACGAACCCTGCATTCGAATCCGATTGAAAAGCCATGCACACGGATTCCTTGTGTAATCCACACACTGGAAATCAATGTGTTATTCGCCCATAAAAGGATTTCTTTTGTGTGGAAATACCTCCATCCCTTAGAGGGTTCTATTACAGGCGGCTCCGCCTTTACCCAGGTTCTTTTAGAGGTGCATCGCATCCACCTCTAATCGAATCCCATGCGCAGTGGATCCACCCCTAATCGGATTCTATCCGAGGCGGCTCCATTCCCTCTGGGATTCAAGTAGACGTGGTCCCACATCGAATAAGATCATACTCCAGGTGCTTCCATCCATCATGGGTTCTATTGGAGGTGGATCCACTTCTACTGGGATTTCATTAGAGGTGAATCCACATTGACTGCAATTCACTTTCCCGTGACTCCTAGTAGAGGGGGATCTACCTCGCATGATATTATATTACAGCTGAGTCCTTCCTTGACCGGATGATATTGCAGATTGCATTTGTATTCGTTATTGATGGTAGTATGTTATATGATCCCAGTCGCAAAATATCCACCCTTGACAAGATTATATTAGAGGTGGCCCCGCATGGCTTAGCAGACATCGCATGGCTTACGGGATTACCAAAGTGCTGACAGAGCTTACCAACGCTAGCAGGTGTTAGCAAATAGTGGCAGGTCTCAGCAGGGCATATCTCGGGCTAGCAGGGCCTAGCAGGGCTTTGTTGGGTTTTTCAAGGCTTCGCTGGGCTTTGCAGGTGGCTACCATCATTTATCAAGGCTTATCAGGGGGCCAACAGGGCTTAGCCGTGCGTAGCAATGCTCCGCAGGGCTTGGCTAGACCTAGCAGAGCTTAGCAGGGGCCAGCAGGGCTTAGCGCGGCTCCGCAGTGGCTAGCAAAGCTCAGCGAGGCAAGGCGTTGCAGCGATTAGCGGGGCCGTAGCAGGGGTTAGGAATGATTTTATCAGAGGCGGCTCCATTATCCATTTGATTCAAGCACTTGTCGATCCACAGCAAAGAAGATCATACTCCAGGTGCTTCCGTCCTCCATGGGTTTTTTGGAGGTGGATCCACCTCTAGTGGGGTCTCATTCGACGTGAATCCACATGGAATGCGCTTGAATTGCGGGTAATTCCGTCCATACCAGGGACCCTGTAGAGGTGGACCCACATCTCATGGGGTTCTATTAGAGCTGAGTCCTTCCTTGATCGGAGGTTATTACGGTTTGCTTCATTTTCCATACGATTTTGTTAGAGGTGGATTATTTTTGAGTCGGATTACATCAGACATGGTTCATCCTTGATGATACTAGGTCAGCGGTGTCCTCGCATGGTTTAGCAGGCATCGCATTGCTTAGCAGGTTATCGAGGTGATGGCAGAACCTGGCAAGGCTTGCAGGTGTTGACAACTATTTGCAGCTCTCAGCAGGGCATACCAAGGACTAGCAGGGCTTGGTAAGACCTATCAAGGTTTAGCTGGGCCTGGTAGGCGGCTAACATAATTTACCAGGGCTCAGCCGATGGCCACAGCGCTGAGCAGTGCTGAGCAAGGCTTGGCTAGCCCTAGCAGGGTCTGGCAGGGCATAGCGCGGCGTCGCAGTGACTAGTCACAGGTGGTCCCAGGGATTCAGGATCCTCTTAGAGGTGGCTCCCTCTCCAATAGGGTTCACATGGAAATGGATCCTCCTCTACTGGGATTCTGTTTCAGTTGGTTTTGTCCTTGGCCGGTTTCTATTGGGTGTGGGTCCTGGTAGGGGTGGGCCTACTTTTAATAATGTT